CCCGTCCTTCGGGCGCTGCAATTGTACGGGAATAATAGCGGCAGCGCTTACAGCCAGGAGAGCTCTCGGACCGACGGCCTGGCCTCAGCACCTCGAGCCTCGCTGGAAATTCTGGCTAAAATCCGATCGTGCCCCGACTTTTGACTCGCATTTTATTCCTGTCAGCGCTGTAGCACCCATGCAGTTGTACGGGAAGGTTGGATGTTTTCTGACTTCGCTTCGTTAGGGATGTTTTTTAACTGCGTTATTTGTTGCCAGTGACTGGTGTTGCCAAGTGTTACGGTTTTATTGCAAATCTCTACACGTTCGATTTTCGTGACGTCCCTGCCTCTGGAGTCCAGCGACTGCAGAAGCTTTCAATTTAAAAGCGGATGTTTTTGTAGCCCTCATATTTGCAGTGGAAAACATGAAGTGGGACCCCCTTAGTGGCTCAAGACCCAGACAGAAAGTCAAAAAGGACATAAACTTGTTATTAAAAACCCTCCTGACACATGTCGGTGTCGTGCATTTTGGCAACTCAACTGCTTGTTTCTGCAGTGGGGAGGATGCGCGTGCGGAGCGGAGCGCCGCTCGGATCCCCGTGCCGGGGTGCGTCTGCAAGGCGGGCTGGCGGGAGAAACCTCTCGCTCGGACGTCGAGCAACCCTGGCGTGGAAGTCGGGGAGAGACGCAGGCAGGGGATGTTGCAATGACGTTTCCACAGCCGTTTTTCAAATTATAACCGTACTTGAAATGATATTTAATTGGGACCACATTGGCTGAGTTCACGCAGCCCCAGTATTAATACTTGACATCATTAATTTTTGTTTATGTTACAACCATTGTTGTCAGGGAATTGGTGTCAAAACATGTCACGATTGTTTAAGCCAGCTTTCAAGAATTTTACGGATTATTTTTTCCTTTGTCCCCTTTGGCTTGGGTTTGGTATGTTTTGCCATACCACATACCACCTACGTCGCTCTATCACTTTCATGCAATTGATTAAAAGGCCATTTTTATTTTAGGTAATCTTATTACAAAGATGGGTTTAGCTAACCACATCTTCGTTTTAACTCAACCAGCCAAAAGCTTATCTGCTTTTCACTGTTTGTTGTCTGTTTGCTTTCCTTTGCTCCTCTTTTCCCAGCATTTCCCCCACCACCGAAAAGGTCTTGCAGTCAGACCCGGAGCAATTTCCCAAGAGTGCCGGCTGTCTGCTGCTGCGACCCCACCGTCCTCCCGTGGCCTCCTCCTCATGTGCGGAAGCAGAACGGCCTTGGGTCTGCGCAGAGGACTCCGCGGCAGCCGGTTGCCAGACACCCGAGGATGCATCTCATCTTTTTCCCATGAAAAATACCTTGTCCTAGCGCCTGTGGAGGCCGCGCGTCTCGGGGTGCTTCTCTGGATCTCGCTGGGCCACCGAGAACTTGCGTCGCTGGAGGGCACTGCATTGACCAGGCCGCGTGCTTGAATTTCCACGGGTGGCATTAGCGGGAGCCTTGGGGAGGGCGGCCGTCCCCGCACGGACGCTGCCGACTCTTTGATGGTCGGGCAGCGCTAGCAGCCGAAGGCTCGTTCCCTGTCTCTGGGTAGGGGAAGGGAGTACCTAGATCTGCCCGTCTTCAGCCCATCTGGTGTCCAGCAGGTGAGCCAAGCTACACAGTTGAGTGAAAAGCAAGCAAAAAAAGCACAAACAGAACTTTTAATACATTTTAATACCTCTTTTAAGCTCTGTTAGTATCTTTTAAGGTCTCTTATTGAAAGGATAAGGATGGGAAGGTGTGATCCAGGTGCCGTTGTCTGAGAGATTGCGGTGTGGAAGTCCTTAACTGTATTATTTAGTGGGACCTTTGGAAGATGCGAGGCTGATCCACCTTTCCCATTTGGCCCAAGAGGAAACGATACGGCAGCTCCAGGCAGTGCCAAATCAGGCTTCCTCTATCCAGAACGTTTCCTGTGTTCCGGTAACTTCTTGGCATGGCAAGAGAGAAGGAATTGGTGATCGCTAATTTACTCTCAGCGTTTTCCCTCTTGCCTTTCTCTGCTTGCCGCGCGTCAGGCAATGCGGCCGTGCAGGTTGCGTTTCGTTCGGATCCGGTCCTGGTTTGTACCACCTAAAAGGGTTCTCATGTGTTGAAGCTTGAGGGTTAACTTTTGGGTTCCCGTTGTGCAATCCACTGATTGTTCCTTATTTTTCTTTTTTTTTTTATTACTCATACACTTTCCCAGGAATAAATCTAGAGTTTTATTTCAGTTGACAGTGAGGCTTTAAAGGGAATAGAAAGGATTTTATGAAGAAGCAGTGAAATAAGACATCAAGTCTTTTTTTCTGCCTCGTTGCTCTCCTTATAATAATTTAAACTTAGGACCCTGTAAAGAAGCTTTTGCGCTTACAGGCTGTCGAACGCTACACTGGACCCTCACAAAGCTGAGCTTAAATCTTCTCTTTGCAGCCCCCTGCGCTGCCTCTGAACCCACTGGTTGTTTGGTGCCCGTAAATCAGCACTTCCAGCAGACCTCGCTGTGGTTTCAGACAGAGGTCTGTTAAAAAGACCTGGCAATCAGACCACCCAGAACTCATTTCGAGTCACCTCATGAGTCATGCTTTGTAAGTTCAAGAAACCCAATCTAAACAAGATGGTTTTCCGAAGGCAGATAAAAATGAGAAAGAAAAGAATGTTCCCGCCGGGCCCCAAGGAAGGAGAACTGGCTTCTTGTTTCGCCTCTTCCGTGGCCGAGTAACCTCAGCCTGGCCTCTTGGGCACGCTGTTTTTTATTTTGGCAACCTTCCCTTTTTTTTCAGCAGTTGTTTGTTTGGGTGGTGAGTTAACCCATGGGTGCTGCGCCGTGCCGCGGGTCCGGCCGGGAGAGACCCGCTCTCTTGACGGTGGCTTCTCACGGGAGCGAGAGCTTCCATGTCCTCCTCGGGGGTTGTGCGCGACGGCGTTTGGGGTCTTCCTTTATGCCTGCGTGCATGTGTGTGCGAGGCAGCCGTTTGCAGAGGCCGAGGGATTTCCCAGGGTGGGGAGAGGGGAGCGACGGGAGCCGAGCTGAGCGCCGCTGCCCTGCGAGCACCTTGAGCTGCGTGGGACCCGCAGCCCACGCGCCTCCGCCATGAGCTCAGACAGCTGGAAAAAAGACACCGTTACACCATTTTCCTCTGAATTATAATGCATATAAATTATATATAATAATATAATAATGTTAAGAGGGTGCAGCATGCAGCATGTAGGTGGGGCGGCCGTGGGAAAACACTAACCTGCTCTCACCAAGCTATCCTTCACATGGACAACCTGGAGACAGGGACTGGGACGTGCTTGGTGGACCAAGCCAGCAGGGCTCGTTTCCCATCTGCAAAGTCACCAAGTGATGCTCTACCTTGTGACAAAGCTGTTTCATTGAAGCCTTTCTTACGCTGTGATTCCTTCATCTCTAAACCCAGTTGTGAGCTTTAAAAACTCTCATGCAAACCAGCTAGGGAAAAAGCAAGCGTTTAAATCAGAGAAGGAAATTTGGTCCCTGCTGCGCTTTGCAGGAAAAGCTGGCCATCAGGGGAGTCTGGCTTTGCTGATTGCCCCGTGGACACCCCACCTGTGCCCTCAGCCCCAGCTGGCTCCCGTTAGCACCTCCCAGCCCCGCTGCCCACAGCTGCCGGCGTTGGGCCCCTATAGAAACGAGGTGGCTGCAGGCAGTCTCCTTTCTGAGTAGTCTCCTGGGAGCCTTGGTGGCACCACACTGTGCACCAAGCCACCCTCCTCCTGGTGGGGTTGTGCTCCTTCAGCACTGGAGTGATGCGTCCTCTCCTTGCTCCTGCAAGGTAGGTCTGTGTGGTGTGTTGCGCTTTCTTCTTTCTGGGGGGAAAGAAAGAGAAGTGGTTGTCCCGCAGGAGTGGAGCTGGGGTGTTTCTGCCCTGGGCGCAGGCTGAGCTGTGCCTGAGGCTGAGCTGCTGCTTGGGGAGCCTGGAGCTGCTCGTGGTTTTATGCAGTTTCCTTGGGGGCAAAGCTGATCGTACCTCTTCCTGGGAGCACTGCTGGTCCCCCGCGCAGGTCTCTCATGGCTGAGTGCTCCCTGTGGAGGGTTTCCTTCGGGCTGCCGTGGCAGTGTGTCATTCCTGCGTGGGGGCCTCCCCCCTGCTGCTCCAGGAGGGCTGAACCCAGTGACGGAGGGGTGGATGTGCACCCGCTCAGCAGCGTGGCAGGGTCCTTGTGACACCCCCAGCCCACGAGCGTCCTGCCCCACGCAGTCAGCAGAGGCGCGAGGCTAACAAATCTCCGTTAGCAAACGTGCTGTCCCCCGGTGTCGGGGGACTTTGGCAAACCTGACCGTGGGGAGCCGAGTGCGTGTCCCCTGGCGCGTTGCCCACCGGTGCGGGGAGAGCCAGAGGCTGGCTAACGCACAACGTGCAAATCCCCCGTGTCACCGGCCGCTCAGCGG